GATTGAGCGCGAAGGTACTGTAGCGATCTGTGATCTGTTCATATTGTCACGTCTGTTCCGGTGAGGTAGCATCGCCACACTTTGAACGCGTGCACGATCGCCAGCATCTCGCGGTCGTGTATCGCGCGTTTGGGTAGGTGAAGCTTGCGGGACTCGTACGCGATTGGCTGAAGGCCGTTCCCGAAGTCCTGCAACATTACTGCTCCCCCTGCGATGTTGCTTGCGTCGGTAACCAGTTTGAATGGGCAGTGTGGATCAGTGATGTGCAGTACGAGCGGTGAGCACAAAATTTTCTTGAGGGCCGAGAAGGCAGCTTGCTCTTTCTCCCCCCACGTGTACTCAACCCCCTTCTCAGCTGGTCAGTCAATGGGGCAATCAATTTCGCCATGTCGGGGACGAACCGGCGCACGTAGTCAACGAACCCCAAGAAACTCTACAACTCGGTCAAGTTGGTCGGCGCGTGCCAGGCTTGAATCGTCGCGATATTTTTCGGGTCTATTTCCAGTTCGTGAGCTGAAATAATGTGTCTAAAAAAAATCCAGTATGTCCTGTAGAAACTCACACTTAGAGGCCTTAGTCGGTAGTCTGTTCTCACTCAGTATATTAAAACTGCTTCGATGTCCTGTAGGTGCTGTGCTCTGTCTGGGCTGTAGATCAGTATGTCGTCTAAGTACACGATGACGCGGTTATCTAAAAACGGGCGGAAGGCTTCGTTCATCGTCATTTGGAAGGTTGCGGGGGCGTTGGTCAGTCCGAAGGCATTACCGTGTATTTGAACGATCCGTCGCGTGTTCGGAAGGTTGTTTTTGGGCAGTCAGGTGGGTTGACGCGGATCTGGTGGTAACCTCCTCGAAGGTCAATTTTCGACAAGACCCGGGCTGTGCACAGTTGGTCGATCATTCGTCGGCTCGCGGGATGGGGTAACAGGACTTGATGGTAACTCGGTTCAGTGCGCGGTAGTCTATGCACATGCGGAATCCCCCATCTTTTTTCGGCGTGAACACCATCGGTGCTGCGAAGGGCGACGAACTCGGGCGAATGAACTCTTTCTTGAGGAGGTAATCCAGATGCTTCCGCAGTTCGTCCAGTTCGGGTTAGGTCAGTCGGAACTGTTGTTGTACTGCTCGCTGTGCCCCCGGTTCTAGTTCTATCATGTGGTCGTGCGGTCGCTGAGGTGGCAGTCCTGTTGGCAAGTCGTCCGGGAAAATCCACTGTACTCTTCTTCAGTAACCCTGCCAGGTTATCCGGTACGTGGCGAGCACTTTCTGTAAATCTCTTCCCTTATCTGCTGCCTTGGCGTCCTGAATGTCAATTGCATACACGTCAGCTCCTGCCGCTATGGCGCGTTTCATCGTGATTGCGTTGACATGCACCGACGAAGACTCAGGCGAGCCCCAGCGAGGTAAGGCGATGTTGTTACCATTCACTCGCACAGTGCAGTCACCCGTCGTCCAGTCGATTCGCGGATTGTGTTGACGCAGCCAATCACGGCCGAGTAAACTGTCGGTTCTGTCGAGGGTTGTTGAGAGCATTTCCTGGATAAACGTGAAGTTACCCCCGCATCGAATCCGAACTCGGTCCACACGTTCCCGTATCGCCAGTGGCGTGCCGTCGACCCAGTCTTGCGTCAATCTCAGGTAAACACCTGTCCAGTAGCAATTTCAGTTTCCTTGTTGTGGCAGTGTTGATGAGGTTGTGGTTTGCTCCCCCATCTATGAATATTTTAACTAACTCTGTCCCAATCTTCCCACTAAGCAGTATGGGGTTATCTGCCGCGGTACCCTCCTTATTCGGCCGTATGTGGTCGATTGCGTGAACCGGCACAATCTCTCAGTGAGGGTCGGTTGGGCGGTCGGGCGAGCGGCCGTGACCTGTCAGTAGAGGGCCCGTCTGCTACTGACTCCCAGCGTTTCCCTGCTGCTTGGTCTGTTCCTGTTGCTCAGCTTCCCCCTTTCCCTTAGCGTTTTCCGGACCTTCACTTTTGCGGTATCCCGGCCTGTTGCACATGAAGCAGCGCCCTTTGAACAGTGCGGCAGCGGCATTTGCGGCGACAGCGCGCATCGTGGGGTGCTCGTTCATCCCGCGAGGTCGAAGTCCCCAGCTACTGTTGTTGCCGTAGGACCCGATCTCGGTCGGCGAAAAAAAATCAAGTTTTTCCGCCATAGCGAGAATCTCCTTCAATTCGGTGACGTTGCGGTGACTGCGCGAGCCTGCGAGTTCTCTTGAGCGATTCCTGAGCTGATTTCGTGCTTCAGGCTGCAATATAGCGGTCAATGCGCTCGCCCTCGTGCATGTAGCCCACCTTATCACACAGCGCAGAAACCCACTGGGTAGTCCTGGACGGAACCGAGTTGACGGCAAGTGCGGAGCCTCTGACGCGCCGCGATAGAAGCCGCAATCGGCTCGAATCTCGCGCGCAGACCTGCGAACCACGCATCCCACGTGCGATACTGGGGCACTTCCATGAAATATGACGGTGCCCAGGGTCCGGTTTGTCCGTCCCGTGTCGGTATAGTCGGGTAGTCCATTGGCTTTGTGACGATGACGCGTCACCAATCCATGGTGGGTCTGTGAAGAAAGAAAACAGGAATGAGAGAAAAAAAAGGGGGCTCACTAGCAAACATTGGGATACATATAGCAAACCCTAAAAGGGCTGTACTCACTATAGAGTACCCCACTGCAGACTAGAGAAACATAATATTCTGACAGGGTCCTCGCAGCAGCGACACGGCGTAGCAAATCTTCGCCGAATCTTCCGAGACATAGTTCGCGTCAAAAAACACGTTCATGGTGAATAACCACGCCTGAATGGTAGGACCACCCTGGTGACTTGGGTCAAAGCAAGGCGGACGCTGCGGCTTCAGCGACATCGGCGATGGCAGTGCTGACTCGCCGGTCGGCACCGAAATCGTGACGCAGGGTAGCTTCTGGCTGCATTCGTCGCTCCGGGGTGTGTCATGCCGTGGTCGTCGTCTCCATCGTTGCGGGCGACGCCATCACTAGCCGCGCTTGAGAGTTGCCCCACGCTTCCATGTTGTAATGTCTGTCGTGCGGGTTGTCCGTATGTGCCTTGTGTCTGTGATTGTGCTTGTTGTGCTCGTGCGACGTCGTTTTGCAGGGACGTTCGTTCTGCCGTTAATGCCGCAATTTCCTCGGATTTTTCGCGCAGTTGCCGCAGCAGTTCGTTTAGGCGCTCCTGCGTGAGACTCGTGGCGTTGATATGCTCGGCCATGTCGAAGGGCGTCGGCTCAGCTTAGTTCTAGGCTCGGTCAAACGCGAGGACAGCGGCTCCTAGGTGCTAAGGGGCGTGAGTCCCTTCGAGAAAAAATCAGAAGTTGATTTCTCTGGGTGCAGAGATGCGCGGTCCGAAAAGAAGGTGGCTCTGATACCAAGTGTTACGGGTGCAATGGAACGAGATAGCGAGGATTGCACTACGTGGGTCAAAAGTACAAAGTATGAGCGAAGGCATGAGCGAATACTTATGTGCGAAACATGCAACGATTACGCGGTGCGTGCAAGCTAGCTAGTGCTAGGCTAACATCGAAGTTCGGGCTAGTCCCGAAGCGTAGGCGGACTCGGCCGGGCCAGCAGTGCATGGTTTGGTGAAACAGTGCGCGCGAAGCTGGCGAAGCCCCGTTAGCAGTAACGTGCGAACAACAACTGATGTTGTACGCGATCTTGTCGATTGCGGTAAGGAATGTCGAGTTAATTCCTTACAGAGTTGAAACAATAATATTTCATTGTTATTTCTTAACAAAAAAAAAAAAAAAAACACTGAACAATTGATGTTGTTACGCATATTTACTGTTGATATAACCGGGAATCGCAGCGGATAGGATAAGAATTGCTAAGTTGTAGGAAGACAATGAAGTCTTGCAATGATCTTGTTAATAATAACTGAAAGAGAACAAGATGATTATATGATAAAAGTGTCAGAATATTATAATGCTTACAGCTGTATAGGCTATAGTGGGGTAGCCCATAAGGGGTACAACCCAATTAGGGTTAGTACTTGTACCCAACTCTTTGCTAGTTCATTCATTCTCGTTCATTCTTCTGACATGGTTTCAGAGCAGGTCCTCCGCTAGGACCGTTTTTTTTCCTTGGGCCCACCACAGCGCTACCCCGCTAGCCGCCCTCTGCAGCCCTCGAGCTGCCCCTACTCCCTGTCGCGACCCGTAGGCCCCTAGGCCCGTCGCCACTAGCCCGTCGCCTCGGCCCGTCGCCCTAGGCCAGTCGCCCCCGGCCCGTCGCTCGTAGCCCCCTAGGCCCGTCGCCCTAGGCCAGTCGGCCCGCGGCCCGTCGCCCATCGCCCCCCCCCCCCTAGGCCCGGCTCGTAGCCCCTAGGCCCCCAACCCGTCGCTCCTGGGCCCGCAGCCCGTAGCCCCTAGGCCCCCGGCCCGTCGCCCCTACGCCCCATGGCCCGCTGCCCCTAGGCCCCCGACCCGTCACTCCCGGCCCTGCAGCCCGTCGCTCCTGGCCCCGCGGCCCGTAGCCCCTAGGCCCCGACCGTCGCTCGCCCCGGCCCCGGCCCGTCGCCCCTAGGCCCCCGGCCCCCGGCCCATCGCTCCTTGCCCCGCGGCCCGTCGCCCCTAGGCCCCGCGGCCCGTCGCCCTTAGGCCCACGGCCCGTCGCTCCCAGCCCCACGGCCCGTCATCCCGCGGCATGTCGCTCCTGGCCCCGCGGCCCTTCCCCCCTAGCCCCGGCCCGTAGCCCCTGGCCCCGCGGCCCGTCGCCCCTAGGCCCCGACCCGTCGCCCCTAGGCTCCGGCCCGTCGCCCCTGGCCCCAACACGTCGCCCCACGGCCGCCCCTAGGCCCTCGAGCCGCCCCTCCTGTAGCCTGCTGCCTACCCTGTTCCTCGCGCTGCCCGGCCTCTACCCGCCCTACGTGCTGCACCACTATGGCTTCTCTCCACGTGCTAGCGTTCGATCATGAGGGCCGACCGATCCAGTTTGACACGTGGCTCGATGACTTGCAGCTGTACCTACTGACCGACTCTATGGACAGTGTTTCGTTGTTTGACCACACGTCTGGCGCCGCTCCCGCCCCTCCCGCCACAGCTGACAGTGCGACTCGCTCACAGTGGCTTACTCGTAACGCTGCTGCTCGCTTAGCCATTCGCAACCATCTTCCGTTGGCCGAATGCGCTCACTTCGGACAGCACAGGACAGCACAGGCATTGTACGATGCTGTAGTCGCTCGTTACTCCTCACCTGCCACTGCTGCTCTAGGCCGTCTTCTACTGCCCTACCTGTTTCCCGAGCTGTCCGCCTTTGCCACAGTTGAGGACCTAGTTTCCCACCTTCGCACTAGCCACGCTCGCTACCGTGCTGCCCTCCCCGCAGAGTTCCTTGCCAAGAACCCGCCCCCGATGTACATCACTCTCTACTTTATAGTCACCCGCCTCCCTAACTCTCTTCGCGCTGTCAGGGACCACTTTCTCGCGCTCGACCCCACAGACCTCACTGTTGACTACTCGAGCAGCACCTCCTTGCAGCTGAGACTAGTGTAGTAGCTGAAGGTGCTGCTCGTGGCACTCCTCGCATGCCCTTCTTTGAGGGGTGTTCCCCCTCCCCCCTTGCCCCCTCCTACGCCCCTGCTGCTGCTGTTGACGTCCTTGGTGCTGAGGATGTCGGAGCTGTTTCCACTAGTGGGAAGCGCCGCAACAGCAAGGGCAAGGGTGGCAGGGGTGGTGGGGGTGGCAGCGGGGGTGGTGGTGGGGGCAGCAGTGGAGGTGGTGGAGGCGGTGGAGGTGGTGGCAGCGGTGGGAGTGGTGGCGGGAGTGGGGGCTCTGGTGGCGGTGGTGGAGGCAGCGGTGCGGGTGGCGGTAGTGGCAGCGGTGGGGGCGGTGGAGGTAGGACTGGAGCTCAGCGTGGAGGTTCTGGAGGAGGGCCAGAGGCAGCGGCAGCAGCGTCGGAGCGAGACCCCGTCGCCCCAGCAGCTTCGTGAGTGGTTGTTTCAGCGTGGGGCGTCCGGGGGTAGTGTGAGCTGCCCGTATTTCATTCGCACGGGTGACCGTGCTGGTCAGACATGCGGGAAGCCTCACACTCAGTATCGCTGCTTCTCCCGCCTTGACGACGCTTGGCGCGCTGAGTTTGGTGACGAGGTCGAGCGCCCCCACTAGGCAGAGCTGCTTAGGTCTGGAGTTGCGATCTTTCTGCTATGTATGCTTTGTCTGCTAGTGCTGAGGGTGACTATTACCGGTGTGTGCCGCCTGACCCAGGTATAGAGGCTGCTGCTCTAGGTGCTAGTGAGTCTTCTCTCCCTAGTACTCCGCCTGCTGAGGCCTTGCACACTTTCACGCTAGACTCAGGTGCCTCACGCTGTTTCTTTCGTGACAGCACCACCCTCACTCCTCTCCCTGCACCTGTCCCGGTCAGACTGGCTGACCCCTCCGGGGGCCCGGTGTTGCCCGTTCCTCCACTGTCCTCCCGTGTCCGGCGGTTCCGTCCGGCTCGCTGTCAAGTCTTCAACTCCCCTTGTTCTCTACGAACTTGGTGAGTACCGCTGCCCTCCAGGACTCGATGGTCACTACCACCACTCATTGGGGTCAGCGTGTGTCGATCTGCACGTGTACACGGACGGATCGTCACCTGGCCACGTTCACTCGTCGGCCAGGGTCGAGTCTGTACACACTCGCTACCGAGCCTCCTCGGGTAGCTGCGTCTGCCCAGGTGTCCGCGTCCGGTCAGGTAGCACCCCCTTGCTCATGTCGCCTCCTGTCGCACCAGACTCTTCTGTGGCACCACCGCCTTGATCACCCCTCCCGGCCACGCCTTCGTGGCATGCACTCCCGCCTCCTTGTCTCTGGTCTTCCGAGGTCTCTGCCTGCCCTCCCGCCCTCACCTGCCCCGCCTTGCCTTCCTTGCGTCGAGGGGCGGCAGCGCGCCGCTCCTCACTCCTCCTCGTTTCCCCCGACGACTGCTCCCCTGCAGACTCTCCACATGGACGTGTGGGGCCCAGCCCGCGTCAGTGGACAGGGCCGCGAGCGCTACTTTCTGCTGGTTGTTGACGACTACACGCGCTACACCATTGTCTTCCCCTTGCGCAGCAAGGGTCAGGTCGTTGATGTTTTGATCCCTTGGATCCGTGCAGTAAGTCTCCAGCTCCGCGAGCGGTTTGGCCAGGACCTTCCTGTCCTGCGTCTGCACTCTGACAGAGGTGGTGAGTTCTCCTCCGACCTCTTGCGAGACTTTTGTGGTGGGGAGGGCATTCTCCAGTCGTTCATGCTTCCAGACTCCCCTCAGCAAAATGGGATTGCTGAGCGCCGCATTGGCTTGGTCATGGAGGTCGCTCGTACCTCCATGATCCATGCGGCTGCTCCCCATTTTCTGTGGCCGTTTGCGGTCCGGTACGCTGCGCAACAGCTCAACCTCTGGCCCCGTGTCTCCTTGCCAAAGACCTCGCCCACCCTGCGTTGGACGGGGGAGGTTGGCGATTCGTCGGTGTTCCGGGTCTGGGGCTCTCGTGCCTTTGTTCGCGATTCGTCCGCGGACAAGCTCTCCGCCCGTGCTATCCCCTGCGTCTTCCTTGGCTTTCCCCCTGACGCGCCTGGCTGGCAGTTTCACAACCCCACCTCGCGCCGTGTCTTCCCATCTCAGGACGTCACGTTTGACGAGTCGGTTCCCTTTTACCGTCTCTTCCCCTACCGCTCTGCCCCTCCCCCACCCCCGCCGCTCTTCCTTGCTCCCGGTCCACCTCCGGTAGACCCCCTCCCGCCCCAGGGTCCTGCTCCCTCAGGTGTGTCTCAGGTATAGACCCTCTCCTTGGTACTGCGCCTGTCGACGGTAGCTGTCGGCTTCAGTGCTGCTCGAGGTGCTACGTCTGGGGGAGTGGAGCCTTGGGGTGCTGAGTTTGAGGGTGCCTGTTGACCCTGGAGCTGGAGTGCTGGAGGCACTACGGAGCCTGGAGCTGCTGGAGCTGGAGGGAGCTGGAGCTGTTGACCCTGGAGCTGGAGGGGCTGGAGGCACTATGGCGGCCGCGACCGTACTTCGTTCCCCTGCTTCAGCAGGTTTCTTAGTGTCCCGTCTTCTCTACTGGCCTTCCTCCTCCCTTACTGTATCCTGACCAGTCGCAGCCACCTTTACAGACCGGACCGTCGCAGCCACCTGTTACAAGCCGGCCTCCCCGCTCCCTACTCCTTCTCTTACACAGAGCAGACAAGACGGTCTTACAGAGCGTCGTGAGCTTGCGTCTTGTCCTGTCTCGCTTTGTTTGCAACATGACTACGCCGTGTTCCATCGTTCGTGTCCTCCTCCTGTCCCTGGCACGCCCGCTATGGCACTTCGTCCTTCCTCTGTTCCACTGCGTGTTCCTCTGCCGTCTCCTCCGGGGTCCTCTCTTCCTGAGGTCCCTGACCGTGAGGCTGACCGCGCTCGTGCTGACAGTCCCACTGTCTCTCGTCTCCTCGCCACTGTTGTCATTGACCCCTCTTTTAAGTCCACTGCTATGTCTGCCCTCGTTGCTGAGCTTCTTGACTTTGCTGCTGCCTGTCGTCTAGACTACACCACTGCTCTTGTTGCTGAGTCTGCGTCTGCCAGTCCTCCGTCCGTCGGGGGTGAGTGTGCTCTTGGCACGGACGTCCTTGAGGACAGGCAGGAGGACTTTGAGTGTCTTGTAGCTGCTGTATCTCGTTTCGCTTCCATGCTGCTTGCCCTTGAGGGAGACCCGGATGCACCAGACATCCCGACCCCGCGCTCTTACGCAGAGGCGATTACGGGTCCTTACTCCTCTCAGTGGCAGGCAGCCATGGATGCCGAGATGGCATCCTGGAAGTCCACAGGCACCTACGTCGACGAGGGTTCCTCCTCCTGGGGCGAACATAGTCGATGGCATGTGGATTTTCAGGGTGAAGTGGCCCGCCGGGGTTCTCCGCCTGCCTTCAAGGCGCGTTACGTTGCTCGAGGATTCAGTCAGCGATAGGGGGGTTGACTACTTCCAGACCTTCTCCCCCACCCCGAAGATGACCACTCTTCGGGTGCTGCTGCACGTACGCTGCTCAGCGTGACTATGAGCTGCACTCTCTTGACTTCAGTACAGCTTTCTTGCAGGGCAGCCTGCACGAGGAGATCTGGCTTGCGCTGCCCCACCTGGTTTCACTGGGTCGTTTCCTGCGGGTACCCAGTGGAGCCTCCGCCGACCAGTCTACGGTCTTCACCAGGCGCTTCGCAAGTGGCAACGACACACTGAGGACTACACTTGCGGCTCTTGGGTTTGCTCCTGGCTACTGCTGACCCGTCGCTGTTTCTACGCACCGACACCTTGCTGCCGCCGTTCTACGTCCTCGTCTACGTTGACGACCCTGGTCTTTGCCACTGCTTACGCCGAGGCACTGACCCTTGTGAATTCGGAGCTGCAGAAGAGACACACCTGCACTGACCTGAGTGAACTGCGCAGCTATCTTGGCTTGTTGATCACCCAGGACAGAGCACAGCGCACCATCACCCTGACTCAGTCACTCATGGTGCACCAGGTCCCTTCAGCGCTTCGGCTTCCAGTTCTCCTCGCCACAGCCACTCCTCTGTCTACCGGCCACTCGCTCTCAGCTCCACCTTCAGACGAGTCCGTAGAGCCGAGTGGTCCCGTACCCAGAGCTTGTGGGTTGCCTCATGTACCTGATGACGTGCACACGACCCTGACCTCGTGTACCCTCTCAGCCTTCTAGCTCGTTACATGGCTCTCGGTAGGCACCGAAAGGTGCACTGGGATGTTGCGAAGAGGGTACTGCGTTACTTGTGCAGTACGTCGGGCATGGGCTCTTGCTTGTGAGGACGGGGTTCAGTTGTCCTCACCGGTCACAGCAGACGCTTCTTGGGTTGACGACTCAGCTACGCAGCGGTCGTACACAGGGTTACACCTTCAGCCTTGGCTCAGGCTCTATTTCCCTGGCGGTCTACCCGCTCGTCTTCGGTTCTCAGCTCCAGTTGTGAGGCTGAGATCTACGCAAGGGCCATGGCTGCACAGGAGCTATGCTGGCTCACCAACCTGCTGACTGACTTGGGAGAGGCAGCCTTGTTCGCCTCCAGTTCTGTACGTAGACAACAAGACCATGATTGCCTTGTGTCAGGAGCACAGACTGGAGCACAGAACAAAGCACATCGCTCTGCGATACTTCCTTGCTCAAGAGTTGCAGGCAAGCATGGCCTGCTTCGTCTTGCGTACGTGGCCACTAGGGCCAACACTGCTGATATATTCACCAAGATACTTCTGCCTGGTGATCATCAGCGTTTCTCTACTGTGTTAGGCCTTGTGCCTACTTTGCCTCACTGCTCACTGCGTGACTTTGCTTGTGCTGTGATCGATATATATACCTGCATGCTTACACTTGCTAGGGTATGATCACTGTATTGTTTGTTCTTTTTATATAACTCTGCATGTGAACTGGCCTTGTGGCAAATTGCTTGTGCTTAGCTTGTGTGGTGACTTTGTGATCCACCCTGAGCTTGCTTTGTTTTCTTGACTGGTCTTGTTGTTGAAATGTATTTGTATACATTAATATACCTGCCTACAGTAGATCCTAGTGTAGCTATATGCTTCTTGTTTTGGTGGTGCACCCCTTCTCTTCCCCATATATGTTCTTGTTTTGCTATAGTAAAACCATCTTTCTCCTTTGCATGAACTCTCTCGACATCCTCGTTCATTCTCTTGACATGGTATTAGAGCTTTAAGCTCCTAATGGCCACCATTTCATCCGCGTTTCATGGCGCCCATCGCGCCCTTAGAAGTGACCCACGTCGCCTCTCCTACGACGGTCGTGAAGGTCGCAACCGTCGTAATGGGCGTGGCGGCGAGTTCGTTCGCAGTCGTCCAGTCGCCCTTTTCCCGTCGATTCTGCCCGTCGCACGCCCCGGGCGTGCGTTGGTTTCTGCCCTCGCACGCCCCGGGCGTGCATCGGTTTTCTGCCCATCACACGCCCCGGGCGTGCGTCGGTTTTCTGCTCGTCGCACGCCCCGGGCGTGTGGCAGTTTCTGCCCGTCACACGCCCCGGGCGTGTGGCGGTTTCTGCCCATCGCACGGCCCTGGGCGTGCGTCGGTTTTCTGCCCGTCGCGCGCCCCCAGCACGCGACGGTGTTCTGCCCGTTGCACGGGTGCCCCGCTGCCCTGCTTCCCGTCGCCCCCGCCGCTCACTTCCTCCTCCCTCTCCTACTTCGCGTGCAGCAGTTTGGGCCGGGGGGGGGAGGGGGAGGTTGTTGGGGGGAGTCAGGAGTGGCGGTTGGGGGTGGTTGCACCTCCAGCGCCCCGCTGCTCTGCTTAGAATTCAAGCCAGCAGCAGCAGCAGCTGCCACCACGCCTCCTCCTCTCTCACGGCTGCACCTGCTGCTGGGGGAGGAGGGTGAAGGGGTGGCGGATGTGCCTCAGCAGCAGCAGCTGCCGCCACGCCTCCTCCCCTCTCACGGGCTGCGCCTGCTGCTGTGGGGGGAGTGGGGAAGAGGGTGTGAGGGGGTGGCGGCTGTTTTTCGTGCGACCTGTGGTCGCCCACGCAGCCCCTGCACCGCCCCCCCGCCCCCCCCCCTTCTCCTCCGTCCCCCTGCTGATCGTGCAGCAGGGGGGGGGAGGGTATGGGGTGGCGGGGGTGGCGAACGACGGTCCTGCTGTCGCCCACAAGCGGCTCCTACACCGCCCCCCCCCCCCCCCCTTTCTCCTCCATTCCCCTGCTGCGGGTGCAGCAGTGGGGGGGAGGGTATGGGGGATGGGCGGGAAGGGATCTGCAGTACCATCCCCCCCCCCGCCCCCCCACTTCTCCTCCCTCCCCCTGCTGCGGGTGCAGCAGTGGGGGGGAGGGGATCTGCAGCACCAGCCCCCCCGCCCCCCCCCCCCTTTCTCCTCCATTCCCCTGCTGCGGGTGCAGCAGTGGGGGGAGGGTATGGGGGTGGCGGGAAGGGATCTGCAGTACCATCCCCCCCCCGCCCCCCCCCCTTCTCCTCCCTCCCCCTCTTGCGGGTGCAGCATTGGGGGGGAGGGGAATCTGCAGCACCAGCCCCCCCGCCCCCCCCCCCCCTTCTCCTCCATCCCCCTGCTGCGGGTGCAGCAGTGGGGGGGGAGGGTATGGGGGTGGCGGGTGTGAGTGAACTGCTGCCGCCTCTCCTCCTCTCTCTCCCACTGCTGCACATGCCGCTGTGGGGGAGGGGGGGGGGAGGGTGTGGGGGGAGTTGAGTGAGTGGCGGTAGGGATGCTGAAGGGTGTGAAAGGGAGGTTTGGGGAAATGGGGGAAGGTGAAGGGGGGGTGAACGCCGTGAAGCCAGCAGCTCCAGTCGCCCGTGAGACCGTTGCGCCAGTTTCCCGTGAGCCCGTTGCTCCTGTCGCCCGTGAGTCAGTTGCTCCTGCCGCTTGCTTAGCCGCGGAGCCAGTTACTCCAGTTGCCCGTGTGCCAGTTGCTCCATTTGCCAGTGTGCCAGTTGCTCCAGTTGCCCGTGTGCCAGCAGCTTCAGCCGCCACCCACCACCTCCTCTCCTCTCATGGTCCCTCCTCCTCATCACTTGCCCTCTCCTTCCTCAGCTGCGCCTAGTGTACCCCTTCAGGGGGTGCTGTTGCACATGGTTCTCACTGTAGGCAGCTAGGGGGTGTGTTGAAATGTATTTGTATACATTAATATACCTGCCTACAGTAGATCCTAGTGTAGCTATATGCTTCTTGTTTTGGTGGTGCACCCCTTCTCTTCCCCATATATGTTCTTGTTTTGCTTTAGTGAAATCATCTTTCTCCTTTGCATGAACTCTCTCGACATCCTCGTTCATTCTCTTGACACTTGTGACCACTT